CTCTTTCCTCAGGGATGAGGGCAGAAAAGGGATCTTTCTACTTCAACAAAAAAGAAGACCCTTCACCTGGCTCCCCACCTAGTGTTCCACTCCTCCAACCCCTATTGATAGAAACGGAGACAACAGCAGAATGAGAAAAGAAAATGCCAGCCTAGGCACTGCTCTAAGCAGAATCTGAAAGATTAAGAACTTGCTTCCAGTAAACACTGTAATTTATGGCTGCATGTTTTCTAAGTGCTTTGCAGAGAATGTCAATATTTTATAACACAAATCCTTTGGTTCTTATTAATCCCGTTGTAAAAAAGATTCAGCTATAGACGTCTTTATTACGACACATGTGGGGAAGAAAAGAGCTTTTAGAAAGAAAAACTACACTATAAATATACATTATACATACTATATATACTATAGTATATAATAAAACGAATCAGAACTTAATTCTTTATTTAAGGGTTCTCCAATAAAAAGGTACTCACTGAATTCTAAATTCAGAAACTGACATTTGAATTTAGGGGCAGAGAAGAGAGCGTGCATGAATAAAGCTCATGAGCCCTGAGTTCTAGTTCAAATTTGCCACCAGTTGTGGACCTTTACTCCACACGACTAAATCTCAGAGTAAATAAGGGAGAAGAATAGATAATTCTATAACAAACCCAAGATCTACATTTTAAAATCAGGATTTGGCTCACGTCCAAACCGCAAAAAGGTAAGTAAATTGCAATAGGGTAGCCACTATGAGAGCAGGATGAACCACTGCTGAGTATCTAACAAAGAGAGAGGCCAGATTCTCAAAGAACATATAAAGTAGGGAAATGTATATATATAAGGTGTGTTGCTATGTGCACCTCTGTGTATGCACGTATAGCACAAATCAGTATAAACGTATACAGTGTAGAACCATCCAAATTAACAAAAGTTGTATCACATGGTTTTCTTTCAAGTCAATAAGAAAACAGAACATTTACAAACAGTCTGTTTTGGCATTTATAAGAGGGTAATTCAATTATCAAGAAAATACATTTTTTACTGAACTCAATCTCTGTTTCTACTCCAATAGATCCATCAGGTCAGTAAGGCAGAGTTCAGTAAGACTGGGAGAAGTTCTGAGAGTTAAGGGCCATGTGCAGCTTGAAAAAGGTCCACGGGTGAGCACATTCACTGATAACACAACATCTTATTCCCCTACAATTTTATAAAGAATGTATATGAATATACCTCAGTAAAAATGAATCAACTTACTAACTCTGAAAATCCCTCCTCTACTTAAAATTGACATCACACTGATTCTGTGTAAGGGTGAAACAAAACGTCTTCTCTATAACTTTTTGGCTTGGTGATGTTGAGAAAGAGGTGGGCAAGAACTTGTACCAGCCCAGCAGTGAGTAAGTGGAGAAGTGGAAAATTAAGGTGGTAGGTATTGTAAGTTAGTAAGAGGAAAAGCACTGACAACCAGTAGGCATATAAAATACTGTTAAATGAACGGACAGAGTATTAAAATTCACTCTCACGTACACTTTTGAGATTCTGGACTGACTGCTACACGATTGCTAACATTTACTGGGAATGTTCCACCACCTTGGGGCAAGAAATAAGGAAGGCTCCCATTATACAACCCTCCCCTCACTGACATGTCTGAATACCTTTGGTAATTTTAAAAAGACACTATAATAGAAAAGGGAATGGAGAGAGAGAAGTCTTGAGAGTTTGGATTCCCGCATAAGTTATTCCCCTTCTTATTGTTAAGCCCCAATCAACATCTACTCTCTCCCCATCACTTGTGCAGACACTGAAAATGAGCCTAGTACAGTACCACGTATACATAACTTAAACGTGTCAGAAAATATCTCACTTTTTTTGTTACATACTATTTATGCTCAACATGTGATGGATTTCATAATGTGAGATATAATCTATTCATTACATCAATATCTGGAGAGGATCTCCTATGTGCCAGGCACTGGAGATATGATGATGAACAGACAAGAGACATGGTCCCTTACCCTTGCAGAAATCACAGCCTAGTGGGGAACACACTAAACAAGCAAGCAAGCAAAAAGAAAAAAGCAATACACACCACAACACATGTAAAATTGTAACAGAAAGACAGAAGAGATGCTTGAACTAAGAGACCTGAAGGAAGACAGCTGGTATGAAGGTTTCCAGGCAGAGAGGGAACAGTATGGACCAAGGTATGATGCTAAGAGGAAGCACAGTTTGGTGGGAAAAGTGAAAGAAGGCCAGTGTAGTGTAGTTTAAACTTCAATGCAATACTAACCTCAATTTCGCGGAGTTTAGCTCGTTTTTCCTCACTCATTTCAGAGTACTTAGAGAACTTGGACTCAGTCATTTCTTCTTTGATTGGATTAGAGTACAAATGATGTTCTTCAGATTTGGAACTTTGAGTATCTTCTTCATCTTCACTTTCTTCTTCTTGACTTTGGAAATAAATAAGCAGAATACATTGTATGTCACGACAGCAAGGAAAAAATTACATTTTACAGTACAGCTTTTTGATTTTTCACTGCCTTAGAGCTTAAATAATGTTAACAAAAGAGGACAATTCGTCACTAAAACATTTTTTACTAAATATCTGATCAAATAACAATTTTATAAAACTCTTATGTTTCCTCCATAGAAAAAATTTGGGCTTCAACATAATCACACTTCTAAAAATTCTGCTTATGTTAATGTTACTTCTGTGCTTTTCATTCAAAACAAACTTTCCTTGCAACAGTTAAATGAAATGAATAATCAATCAGTGATTTCTGCATACTTTGTAGTTCAAGAGTGATTGCATGATGGTTAATGTTTAAAAAGCCAAATGTTTACCCTCCCTTCAGCAGAGCCTGTAAGCTAGAAAATACATAAGTTTGAGTCACAGAGTTTCTATGCAGCAAGTAAAAGATCTTATCTAATTAACACATAACCCTAAGAATAAAACAGTGTATTAATTTTAAATTTTAGCACACATTAGTATTCATGTCATAGTTGATTATGAAAGTTGTATTGGTTCTATGTCAGATAAAAAGAAAATGATAAACTAAGTGACTACCATAGCTAAGGATACAACAAAGAAAAATTCTCCTGTCCTTCCAAAAGCAATCGAGTAGAAACAGACAGGGAAGCAACTATGACAAGCTGCTCATCATTGCCAGGATAGGATTAACAAATGTTCTTCAATGTTCTTGAAGCACAAAGAATGATGGGACTTAAAAAAAAAAAAAAAAAGGTTGTATGCTCTGGGACTGGGCCTTTTGAGTGTAAATGTTGGATCTGGGCAAAACAAGTCTTCCATGTACAAACTCAAAATGTTTATGTATATACAAACAAAATTCCTCATAAACAATACTATGACATGAACATTACTGGCACAGCCTAGAATATATGCCATTTTCCCTTAATATTTGAACCTGATAAGCCCTTATATATTGGTATTTGAGTACTAACTACACTCTACCATGAATAAGAGGAGTTCTTTTAGTATATATTTAAAACTATTCATAATAATATAAAAACAATTATAACCAAATCCTTTCCAAATAAAATTTTAGAGTCACACACTGAATGAGAAAAATTTAAGCAAGGTAGATAAAAATAGAGTACTAGCTTTTTTATTTCTCATCTAAAGGTCCTTTCTAGAATACTAATAAAATACTTTTCACGCTTTATACTCTCAGAGCCCCACAAATCATTAGTAGCACATATAGGCACAACTCAATACAATACTTAGGTGACAAAAAAAGAGGAAAAAGCCAAAACCAACGATTAAAAAACATATTCTTTTCGGAAATAAACTTTTACTTAATATTTCTCATTAATTTGTCAGAAACTTCCTAAATGCAGTTCTTAGCTAATTTTTTTAAAAGACAAGAATTTCTTGTTTTATGGTGCAAAATAGGTTTACAAGTGTCTCAGATGCTTTTAGTGGTTAAAGTGCATGTGTGTGTGTAAATACAGATTATTTACTGAAGGATTATTCTGGAAAGAGTTAATCAATAAAGATGCAACACAGCTAATGAAACTGTTATCTATTCAATGGAGATTACTTAACCAATTCCAGCCTGTTATTTACAATTTTTTCAAAAAATTTTTTTGCAATTTGAAATATTCCTTGATAAACTTCCTTGTACACTTATCTGAATGCTTGCTTTCAACCACAGATGAATACAGAGCAGATAAACATATGGACTAACATGGAATAACAAAACCCATGATACCTGAGTGAAAAACATGGGTCACAGAACAGTATGTACAATATTACATAATCTATGCTTTAAATAGATATGCATGTTTTTATACATACAGAGAAAGAATATAGGTGGCTAGACACTAAATACTAATCATATTATTTAAGACTTTTAAAATGAACTACACTACAATTTGAGAATTTAAAATACATACATACTTTACAGCTGCTATTTAAATTTTGTAAGGCCTGAGTGATCTGTTCTAATTGGCTTTGACTTTAGCTCTTAGTTACCAGTTCTAGGTTCAGATCTCATCACAGCCTCATCTTGCTCTTCATGTAAAGAACTGGAAATTCAAGACTAAACCCATACAGAATTCATTACAAACGAATTAAATTACTATTGGAACTTTTCTCCAAAGCATTAGTAGTGCTATATATATTTTTTAATCACCCTTCTGCCGCAAAGACAATAATTACTAGTGTCAAAAAGCAGCTCCAGGGCTTCCCTGGTGGCACAGTGGTTGGGAATCCGCCTGCCAATGCAGGGGACACGGGTTCGAGCCCTGGTCCGGGAATATCCCACATGCCGCGGAGCAACTAAGCCCGGGCGCCACAGCTACCGAGCCTGTGCTCTAGAGCCCGCGAGCCACAGCTACTGAAGCCCTCATGCCTAGAGCCCATGCTCCACAAGAGAAGCCACCGCAATGAGAAGCCCGCGCACCGCAACGAAGAAAGAGTAACCCCCGCTCACTGCAACTAGAGAAAGCCTACGCGCAGCAACGAAGACCCAATGCAGCACCACCACCACCCCCGCCCAAAAAAAGCAGCTCCTTGGTAAAAAGGCATTTTGGATTCAGCCACTAGAGAGCAGCAGTGAGGCGCAAGAAAATTTCAAGGACCAGAAAGCAGTAGTATGTGAGAATGTATTTTTCCCTGCTTTCAAAAAGTTATTTTCATGTTATCATGACTTATTTGGAGCTCCTAGGAAAAATCAAAAATATAAATTATATTTTCAGTGATCCATGCTTCACTGTATGAATGTACAATTACCATCAACACAAAAATGCTTTCACATTTCAAACATTAACATAAATATCAAATTCAATGCAACAAAACTTTAGAAACAAAACTGCTTGAACAATATTTGAGTTCTGCAATGGCTTTTCTACCCTTCCTTTCCCTTAAATAATTATTTTATGAATACACATACTCATTTTAAAAAGCAGTGATTCTACAATGGTGAGAGATGTTACTAATGATGGGACTGCAGACATAAAAATGAAAACAAACTGGACTGTTTCCAATTCCTGTACTCCTAAACAGCCTCAGAGAGGTATTTCCATCAGCGAACCACATCTATATTTTGTAAACATGTTGTCATAATCATTGCTGACTTGTTCTGATCACACTGTTTCTGGAAAGACATCACCACTGCCAAGTTTTCTTCATCATACCAAACTGTGCTTCCACAAATGCTGATCAATCATATTGCCTTAAATCTAAATGCTAACACCCACTTATTGAATCCATACAAATGCTCAAATTGTGCTGGGACACAAAGGGACTTTTCCTTTTGTGTACTCTTCCATATGAAAACAATAAAAGAAGATTTTTAAAAAAAACCCCAAACCAGAAACCTCTGCTTTGATGCCATCTCTTTCTTGCAATGATTTTTAAAGGTGGCAACAAGTGCTATTAAAAAAAAAAATAACTACCAGCATAAACTTGCAGGAGAATTTGGGAGCAGGAATTCCTATAATCACATTCAGTGTTAAACTCAAAATCAACCGGGGGGTAATTACCAAAGAGCAAAATTGAAAACTACAATTTCTCCGTACAATAAAGGTAAAATGGTTTTTTTCTTTTACTTATTCATAGTTCTTCTGAGGTGTTAACATTTAAATAACGTAACGGTCATAATGGTCATAATGCATTATTTTTCTTAGCAATGCACAATCCCCCCTAAAAAGGAGCATAACCTTCCCATTCACATTTTAAAAAACACTTTTTGTGGAGCCAAAACAATACTTGATGACAAAGATTTAAAATAAATGCAGTTGACCATTTAGTAACTACAAAGTAAGAATGTATAACCTAGCATAGGAAAACAAACTCAAAAGCAAAGTGAAACCAGATGCGTCAAAACCAGAAAGCAAAAGCTCTTTATTCACTGGAAAAACAATGAAGAACTAAAAATGATCCTCTTAAAACAAGTTTTTTTAAGAGTTAAGTTTTCCTCTTCACTATTATTTCAAGCATACCTCTTAATGAAAAAGGGAGTGTATATGCAATAAGAAACTGAGTATATTCGAAACTTAGATTCTTACTTTTGATTTTCTTCTTCTTCTGATTCTTCATGCTGGTCAAATAACTCCCATTTAGAAGTTGTTACAGCTGAATGGAAGGAAAAAAAGGATGTAATTCCATAAGGTAAATCAGCATTTTTGCAGCAGCACAGTAGAAGCCCAGCTTTAGAACTGAAAGTTTATATTACAGAAGTTATCTACATTTATCTTTTCTTTGAATAGCCATTTCTATGTACTAAATGTATTTCTTTCCTCACACCTATACTATAATTTTATTCAAATTCATGAGGTGACAAATAATGTCATCCTTATTTCTATGCTAGATGGTAAGATTTATTTCATTAGAACGTACAAATACTAAATTAACAATTACAGATTATAAGCGCTAGGATACATGTCCAAGCAAGTATGAAAGGCAGGTCTAAACTGCATCTAAGAAGTCAAGCATTATAAGAGAGACAAAGCTTTGTTTTTCTGAAACTGACCTCTAAGTAAATTTCCAAATAGGTACAGCTTCCCATCTACATTTTCTACTGAAACGGCTTAACCTAAAAGGTTTTTAGTGATTTCTCTAATTACTCTTGAAGCATCCAAACTGAAGGATCTAAGAAAATTTAAACAGCAACCACAATGAAAACTTAGCCACTAGACATAAAATATGACAACACTGGGTCTTAAGGTTGAAACATGTTATAAAATACAAAAGGAAAATGTACACACACACAACAATGATTTGATAAAATTTTAAGTACTCAATTTTTTAAAGCTGTGTATTTATTGTATTTTTACTTACCCTGTGCTTCCAATTCGGATTCATCTACAGCTTCCCATTTTGATGGGGCAACCTTAAATATAGGCTCATTCTTCTTTGAGTCTTCAGTCGCATCCACTATTGAAGAAAGATGAGCCATTAACTCTGACTACCAGAGGATGACTTAAGGAGCTCATGAGTATTCACTTATTATTAAGAAGTAAAATTAAATAAGGTCACACAGGGACTAATAATGCTAGTGTCAAGAACAAGGATTATGACTAATCCAACTCTCTGTACCTGAGGTCCAATTTTTAAATATAAGTATAAATATAATTTATATATATACATATGCATATGTACACACACACAAACACACACTCATATACTCAGAACACAGAGGTGGTTATTGCAAGCAAATGGAGAAGCTGAGGAAGTAAAAGAAACTTTAGTACCTTTATCTAATTATTGTTTAAACTGCAGAATTCATATATTATTCAATATTTTAACATATAATCCAAATGTACTAAAGATTATGTATACTTCCTATTTCCAAAAATGATTTCAGGTAACTAGGAAAACTGAATCTATAAGTTAGGAAAACTAATAATAAAAATACAACTGATAAAACCAAGCACCTGGGATTATACGTTCAATTGAACACAAGCTTTTGCCTATAGTTTCCTAACAAGACAGGAAAAACCTGCTAATATTGTAAGAGGCTGACTGTCCTAACAAATAAATGTGACCAGAAAGGAAACCTTTTTCTTGGCACAAATGTATTACTGGGTTGCTCAATTCTGAAAAGTCAGAAATAAAAGACAGAAAAAAGTTAATGACTGACAACCTTACTGAGAAATTATAACCTTTTTCCATATCAGCATGTGTGGAAATTAAAGAGGCTTGGAATCAAACTTATTAGCTAGCTTGAATGAGTTTGAAGTTTGAACTTACAAGGCACTCCATCAAGATCATCATCAAGGCTCTTTATAGGGACTCCATCAAGGTCATCAATGGGAGTAGCATCAATAGGAATTCCATCCACATCTTCTAGAGGTGCACCATCAAGCTCTTCCTCAATGGGGGCACCATCAAGGTCATCTGGTACATCCTATAAAAACACATACTACTGTAACATTTTCTTTTGCTTGCTAAAGTCATATTGCTAAAAGATTAACTTGCAATCCAGTATAAACCAACTAACATTCCCAGGTACAATGTGAGGATATAATAAGAATATATTTTTATCATCCAGCTGACAAAGACGCATTCATCTGTGCAATATTTATCAAATAGTTACCAAGTACTTAATTATGCCAGGTACCAATGTGAGGCACCGAGGATACAATGATGAGCAAAAACGAGCTTTGGTCCCCTAGTCCCTCCTGTCATAGAGCTTAGTACAATTAGGGGGTGGGGGGGACAGGGGGGCAGAGAAGGAGCCAGGCAATCAGATAATCACAACAATATACGATGACTGCTATAACAAAGAGGTGCACTGTGTTATTAGAATGTGTAATAAGTAGGTTCCACCTAAAGAGGTCTGAGAAGGCTCAATGAATTTATGCTCAAACTGAGATCCAAAGTGTCTCAGATAAAGAACAGATGTTCCAGAAAGAGGAAAGAACATGTACAAAGGTCTATGGTAGGAGGAAACGTATTTAAGACACTGAAACAAGGACCATGTGGCTGGAGCAGTAAAACTGAAAATATGATAGCTGGATTAGGATGGTAGAAATGAAGATGATGGATTTAAGAACTACTGAGGAGATTAAAAAAAAACACAGAATGGTAATGAATACAATCTGCTACCACTGTGGTGCATCTTTTCAGGTACATGTTTACTTACACAGCTATCTTTAGTTTAACAAAATGAAATCATGCTATATACATTGCTCTATTACTTGCTTTTTTTCTACTAATATACTATAAATCCTTTCATGTCATTAAATTTAAAAGTCACCAATTTTCACATAAGGACACAAAACAGAGAATTCCTGTTACATACAATTTCAAGTCCTGGGCTCCAGCAATCCCAGCAACAAAAATCCACTGTTTAGTGGTAAACAGTAGGCATTTTCCACAAAGAAATGTTACATCTGTAACATATCATACCTCCACAGCATTCCAGAAATAAATTTTAAGATAATCGGACAAATACACTGAATACCTACCTCTGTCTCCTTTTCTTCAATAATATTTACAAGTCCTAAGAAAATATTTTGTAGTTTGATCAAAAATGGTTCTGGATAAATTGCCCAATCTTCCCATGCTCTAAAGCAGGTCATTACCCGTTGCTAACAGGAAAAAGACAATGAATTATCATTTAGGGCAATAAACTATCCAATGTCATCCATCTCATGATAATGACCATCACAATTTGCGAAATTTTCCTTTAAACCAATATTCTTTTTAAAGTTTAAGGGAAATATTTATTCATCATTACAATATTTTTTTAAATCAATATTACCTCCCCATTAAAAGAGGAAATAAACTAAAAATAAATGTAATAAAAAATAAACAGTAACTGTTTGCTCTCAGTCACCTAAGATCAAGGTCCCATACCACTGGTGGTACACGTGAGGCCACATTCTGGGAAACACTAGCTTAGAAACTTATGAAAGCTGGATATCAAGGTAGCCCACATTTTGATCTGAATTCCTTTATGGTCTGATGAAGTACTTCTTGATTCTGGCTAACACTTCTCTCTGTCCCCTCCTTAAACTTTTCTATAATCTGTCTTATGGTCAAAATTTGAGGTCAAAAAAAAATTTTAATGGAGTTGTTTGTCTGAATCCCCTAAATGGTAGGGTCATTGGGCATCTTCCCAAGCTAAAAATTTCCTTAATGAGTATTCTTCCCATGAAAGTCTATCTATTTTTTCAACTATAAGTAAGGTATTCTGTTTGGCTTTTCTTAACATTGGTCTACAGCTTGAGCATTAATAAAAAATTAACAACTGAATATACTTTCAACATGAATAACTATATTCCTAATCCAGCCAAATAATATATACCACTACAAAACAAGTGATCTTCTGAGTGTTTTCTGTGAAAAGACCAATATTTTAAATGTTTAAATAAAACCCTTAAAACTAAAACAGACACCCAACAAAACACTAGACATATTTTAAAATTTCAGACTTTTTTTTGATACTGAAGGTAAAATGGCAGTAAATTTTAAAACAATAATTTCTGAAACATCTAAGTTATGTCTTACACTTACATACTCTTTCAGCCCTCCAATGTGCTTCCCGGCGCCTACTTCCCATTTAAAACACTAGGGCAAAAATACCCAAACAATAAACGTACCTTAAAGTTTTCAGACTGTAAATGGCCTTGAATTGTACGATAGGTAGCATTGAGGTCTGAAAATATCTGACACAACTTTGTTTCAAAACTGAAATTCAAATAATATGTTTTTTTACAATAGAATGTGTTTAAAAATCCTTATCTACTTCAACATGCTAGCCAATGAAAACCACTCTGAACTTTTAATTTTATAAATAAATTAATCAAGTAAATCTTTAAAAATAAGAATTAGGTGTTTAAACTCTAAAACTATAACTTGTAACTCCTATTATTCTGAATTTGTCTTCTGCAAAATCGCACGAAGAGCCTTAAGAACTAGTTCCCTTAATTAACAAGGAACTTTTACATCTAGGATACCTTGAGCCATCTAGTCCAACCTCTTTGTTTTATAAAATAGGAAACAGAAAAGGTAAGTGACCTGTCCAAGGCAAAAGAAGGAATAGCAGCGCCAAGATTAGGGCCCAAACCTCCAAATTTCCCTTCAGAGCCAGTTCCTAAAGAAAAGCTTCCCTAATTCATAAAATAAACACCAAAAAGAAAATGTGGGGAACTGAGGAAGAGTTATGTATCAGTATACAGCAACATAATTTCCTATTGCCTAGGAAAACATTAACAATGAACTACAACCAATACAATGATGATCAGAGAACACTGATTCTATAAATAGTTAATGCTCCTTTGTTTTCTTCCTTTGTTGGCCACTATTTCTAGTGTTTCAGCTTATTTATTACACAAGTGGCTAAATACACAATAGGAATAAAGTGATTTTTTAACTCTTCCTATTTGTTCTTTTATTAATAGTTAATCAAGAAACAGAGAAAAACTTTCAAAAGATTGTAATAATTTAGCTTAAAGTGGTTTACTTCAATGAATACAACCCAATTTTTAGAATATTAAACAAACTATGAAGAAATTCAAATTATTTATTATTGAGGGTATTAATTAACAAAACTATCCTCTTTTCTGAGCTCCTTACCCTTAAATATTTTAGTTCAGGCATATCAACTTACATCACTATACTTACAATTTTCTATAATAGGAAGCATTGGCAACTTTGGCTGAAGAGTTGTACAAAACATCAGAAACCAAATATAATCTGGCAATCTAGAATACCAAAAGATAGCATAAAATGGATTAAAAATAAAAACCAACAGCAAAAAACATATCTAAAAAAATTTCCATATTGAAATTTTTTGAATCAACAGCATAAGGCCAATGTTTAGCCATAATTTAATAACCCTAACTAATGAGAAGAGTTTTAAGAAATTCAGTATCACCACAACCATGACTTGGGCAGGGACAGAAGTTGTAACTCATTTACATTTCAATCTGTTGATAATTTGTGTGTTAATAACTAAGATAAGTTTCCCAGGCAGAAGGAAAATGAAACTGCACGAGAAAGATTTCTTCAGTCAACTTCTTCATTCAAAAAAGAAACCAATTTCAATTCAAACAGAAGTCAACTATTACCTCTCCTTTACTTAACTGAATGTTCCATTAGGAGTAAGTATTCCCATACCTTTTTGGGGAGGGGTGTCTTTAAGATGGACAATGACTCGGTAATGCAATCCACTATTTCTTCAGCAGCTTCAGCATTATTAAGACAGAAAACCATTGCATCTCCAATATCATTTTTCCTTGGAGTTAACCCCCGCAGAATTTCTTCTAATTTGTCCCTCTGTCTGAATACGAATTTTTTAACTTATAAGTATTTATAAATACAAATTTCAAATGCCATTATAGTTTCTGCTCACAAGTTAATTTCTTTAAAACCCACTCAGATAGAACTCTGAAGACTAAATTGTGTTAAGTCTGATTTGTGTTACGTATTCCAAATATGTTACATTTTTTTAAAGAATTTATATGGGGAAGAAAAGTATCCCAGGAACTAATAAATTAGTTTAGTGACTTTTAGTTTACAAATTAAGTAAATTTAAAATTATAGGCATTTTTTCAAGAGTCTTCGCGAATGTCCCACTCCTATTATCCTATTACACTGAAGAACCTTCGGGGTCTTCACTCTCCTTTGAAGGAAGTTTGTTACTTTAGCACTTCTGCATAGGATTAGGACAGGATACAAAGCAAGGGTTGACAAACTTTGTCTGTAAAGGATCACAGAGTGAATATTTTAGGCTTTGAAAGTCACAGTCTCTGTCACAGTTACTCAGCTTTGCTGCTATAACACCAAAGCAACCACAGACTACATGTAAAGGGATGGGTATGGCCATGTTCAAATAAAAATTTATTTACAAAAATAGGAGGTAGCCAGATTTAGCCTATGGGCTGAGTATGCAGATCGCTGGGCAAAAGTAATGATGAACATACATCTTCAGAAGCAAATATACTCTCAAATGCTACAGTTCTCTATCAGTAATGCTCTCACAAACAATGCATCAATGCAACTAGCATTAAGATTTATTGACAGTGAAGTATATAATCCTATAAGCTAAAAATTATTTTGGCCGTTTTTTCCCCTTCAGGTATACAGAATTTCCTCTAAACATTTGAACAGTTAAATTTGTTTTTGCTTCTTAAACCAGGCTAACTGCCCTGAAGCAGTGCTGACTGAGCACTAATAATAACATGCTTCCATGGTGGCCGCACACGGCACTTCATGGAGCAGCTTTGCAGTCACCCATTTGACTTCACTAAGCCATAAAATAACTTTACCTCTACGTTGCATTCAAAGAGGCAAGAGTTCTAAGGGCCATGAAATAATTTCTATAAGAATATAAAGTATTCCACTGCTGGAGTACCATCACTTAAGAGATCATCAATAATTTTTATCAGTAGGAAGAGGTCAGGTTGAGTAGGAAACACACTTATAATACTTGCCAAGATTTTTAAAATTACAATGCATATGTTAAGAGATGTTACTATTTTAAACAATCACAAATTTTAAAAACCATTTTATTTTAGGGTTAACACATCTTATTAAGACCAGTAATTAAAGTGACCATTAAAGCAACTTTTCTGAATATAAAACAAGAAAGGTAAAAATCTTACTCTTCCTTAAGTGCTCCCTTTTTACTAGGCTCCTCTACAAAAGCTTCTGTTTCCTGCTCTTCTGACATCCCATGCAGATATGGATTTAACGGTGGTGGCCTCCAAAAAGATCCGTTTTTGAACATACGAAAATCTTCCGTCCGCCACTTAGTTGGAGAATCTCCCTAGTTAAGTGTCCAGAATGTTATTAGAAAGATCTAATACCTCAGAGTCAAAATTAAACAAAGTAGTTGATTATACTTGCCTGCAGAATAGAATAAAGCTTCCATCTATAGTAAACATGGGCTGGTGTCTGGTTTTCAAATAAGAATCTAAAACAAAAACAAAAAATTAAACATTGGATTCTTTAATGGAGAACTATCTTCAAGTAAATATGAACAAACGAGAAATATTATTTGTCTATTTACTTCTAAATAAAACCAAAAGCAAAGATCCCTGAAGAGAAATCCTCACCCACTGCCATCTATCCCCTTCCTTACCCCAACCCCAGACTGCCTTTGTGACTGACACTAATACTCATAAGGTATGTATGCATCTTGCTGAGTCTTACAATCAGTTTTATTGAACACTATGTGTCAGGTACTGTCTGGCAATGGAGAGATCTTCCCAAGATATAATTTCAAAAGCAGTGGGTTTTTTGTTTTGTTTTGTTTTGTTTTTGCGATACACGGGCCTCTCACTGTTGTGGCCTCTCCCCTTGTGGAGCACAGGCTCCGGACGCGCAGGCTCAGCGGCCATGGCATGGCGAGAGATCTTCCCAAGATATAATTTCAAAAGCAGTGGGTTTTTTGTTTTGTTTTGTTTTGTTTTTGCGATACACGGGCCTCTCACTGTTGTGGCCTCTCCCCTTGTGGAGCACAGGCTCCGGACGCGCAGGCTCAGCGGCCATGGCTCACGGACCCAGCCGCTCCGCAGCATGCGGGATCTTCCCAGACCGGGGCACCAACCTGTGTCCCCTGCATCGGCAGGCGGACTCTCAACCACCGTGCCACCAGGGAAGCCCAAAAGCAGTGGTTTTTAAATGACTTAAGTAAATTGCAAATGAAGTGTTAGATATAACTGTTCAGAAGATAAGTAGTTTCTTATAAACCTCATTTATTCTACCATATTTTGCTTATGAAAGACTCTTTCATTGAAAAACACAATGAAAAATATTTTCCTCCTAGAGAATGCTAAAAACAAAGCTATTTAATTAATCAAACCATGGAAATCACTGGAAAATTGACGCAGGCACATTCTAGTCTAATTATTAAAACTGCCTGCTCACCCCATTACGAAAATAACCTCATACTTTTAGGACTTTTTTGAGTATTTTTAATTCCAAAAAATAATTTTAAAGTATTTTTAAAAATGCACATCTGAGGATAAACAAAATGTGGTATATACATACAATGGAATATTATTCAGCCTTAAAAGGTAAGGAAATTCTGACACATGCTATACCAAGGATGAACCTTGAAGACATTAAGCTAAGTGAAATAAGCCAGTCTCAAAAGCACAAATAAGGTATGACTCCACTTAGATGAGGTACCTAGGGTAATCAAATTCACAGAAAGTAGAATGGTGGTTGCCAGGGGCTGAGGGACCAAAGGAATGGGGAGTTATTGTTTAAGGCGTACAGAGTTTCAGTTATGGAAAATGTGAAAAGTTATGGTGATGGTTGCACAACAACATGAATGTACTTAATGCCACTGAACTGTACATATATAAATGGTAAGTTGTATGTTACATGTAAATGTTATTACCACAATAAAAAAAATGCACACCTGAACATAGGATTGTTGATCTCTCTGTTCATAATCATAGCTTCAAACATTGGCCCTTCACGTACAACAAACTCTATCATTCGATGTATCAGGGCGAGCAAATTCCTACAACAACAACACAGTTAAAGAAAATGGATTCAGACCTACCACTAAATAAAACTACACTTGACCTAAGTTACTATAATTGTGCAGAAAAAGATTATTCTGCTGACTAATACAGAATTTTATACCAAGAAAGTAACCTGGAGCATAGTTAATACCTTGTGCATTAAGAGGGAGTGGGGCAATGGGGATAAGGGAGTGGGAGGGGAAGGGAAGGGAAGGGAGGGTGGGAAACCACAACACAGCTTCACAGTAATAAAGATTTCAATTTCTAAATACCCACTTAATTTTACTTTCCAAATGCAAAACATTAAATTATGAATCACAACTAACTGGAAAGCTGCAAATATATAAAATCCGTAACTTAAAGCTTACATGTTATCATAACCATCTAAAAACTTCCACACTATCTGTTTTAAAAGAAAACATTCCTAAACCAAGCACTTTTGTAGTGATATTGAAATGTTATATACATGACTATAATTTATAAAAATGCACAACTATTAACAAGTTTAAGGTCTGAGTTAATAATAATAATAAAAAAAAAATCCATCCAACTCCTGTGCTTTTCTGGTACACATATGGAGTTTTTATTGAATCTGACCTTTAATGAGGCAACATCCCTTTGGACCACACTTCAAACTAGTTCACATAGTTCATGACATGTATAATTCTGCCTGTGTGTTCTGAATCGATAAAGCAATTATATTGCCAAAGCCTTAAACGAATGGAGTCCTGTTTCCAAAATATTCCGAAATAAGGGACATGGTGATATGCCCTTCCCATTTTTCATAACAATTACTTCCCAATATTTGAGCCAAAAATAAACATATGTAACTTTTTAGTCGTCATTTTGTTGACTGGGCTTATATAAAGTCTTTATTTTTAAAATCTGATACCTTATTAGGCTCCAAACACAATTTTAGACATTGATTACAGTGTCAGGCAAAAATGATTCAGCTTATGATAGCTACTTCTGATTTCTCATTTCACCAGTCTCCACCATATAGAGTTGGCAAATATCAAATGGGAAAAGCAAAAGGATATTGGCTCTTGGTACAAGGCACACACTAAATTACACCTTTAGCATTCCCAGCTCAAATTAAGTTCATATAACTGCTAGAATATAAATAAATATATAGTTATAGAATAAGACATTTTTTTTGCTCTATGAAGCCCTGCTTCAGAGTACATGAACAGTAAAATAATTTATCCCATGCTGATTATAATTATTTTCTGTTTTCAAACCAACCTACTTAAGTGGACACTAAAATCTCTACATAGTGAAAAAATGAATTTTTTTGACCTCCTAAAAGAGGTCAAAGAAAAATATGAAGGTTTAATAAATCTTTAACAGAGGGAAAACTATATATTAAAATTATTAATTCAACCTCAAACTGTTAAAACAAAAACCCAAAGTATCAATTTTAAATCTAAAAATTATTTCACAGAAGTATTAATTGGCCTGCAAATATGCAGGTCTTGATATCCAAATGAGAATGTATTCTCAACATCCATATGGTTCATGACAGTGTTTTTAAAAGAAGGGAGATATGGTATTGATTCAGTCCCAAAACTCCCAGTGGTATATGTCAAATTAAAGGGAAATTTTATGTATCATAATATATAAAATCAATGACCAGGTGGACAAATACTACACATCCAGAAACTTATATGAATTAAGTCAAAAGCTACTTGACTTGCATATTAAAGATAGACGAAAAATGATTTAGCAAGTTTAAAACAAAGGATTCATTGTAATGGTGAGTCGACTTTACAGCAAAATGTACACTCAAAATGTTGTTTAGAACTAAGCTGAGCCACATGTAAAGCTAATACTGGATATATGCTTTTTAAGTGATGCCAATATACTACTTTCCTGTGAGTGCTTTACCAGTGGAAAAAAAAACCCACTATAGTTTTAAACAGGCTTGTAACTGATATATCTATTTTTAGAAAATTTTAAGTTTAAGAAAAAGTTTTAAAATGTTTCATGATTATTTAAAATCAAAATCTGACAATTAACTTTAATTCAAGAGTCTTAAGAACTGTAATAACTCTTTTTTCCTTAAGGATTATGTGCTTATTTTTAAAAAGGTGACTTTTCTATCAGAATGAAACAGTGTAGTACAAAAAGATGATATAATTTAAAGTGCATTATTTTATTTTAAAATGGTAATTATCTTATTCTGGGCAACAACAACAAAAATTGTCTCTCAGTTATAATAAAACCACATTTATTGGAGTCGATCGTACCAATGTCTGGTCAAAAACTGTATACTTTCCCAATCCATCCCATGATGTTTTCCTGGTCCCCCGCTGCCGCAGACAGTTCAGCTGGTGTTGCTCACCAAGGCCAATGTCAAAGAGAATTTGGTATTCTTTTGTGTTCATTTATTATTCAACCAGTGTTGTGTTCCTGTGTTTGGGAAAAGGCTTAGCTTGACTGAGCAAGAGCATACCTACAGCATGAATTCTTTCGCTTTAACATTATGTTGAAAAAGAAAAAAAGGAAGAAAGGAAAATAAAAGAATTCCAAACACCTTTGTTATCATGAAAAAAGTTTCTAGTTATGGTCAGTGTTCATGAGAATAATAGAAATTCCTTCTTAAAATCATTTAGGAAAAATAAAGCTATGCTTTCAGTAAGGAAAACTCAAACTAAGGTTGCATATTAAACACACAGACAATTCAGAAACCAAGGAAAAAAATAACAGATTGGGTCAAAATGTAACATTATCTAAAATTTAAGATACATTTAAAACACCTATTTTCCCATCCCAGTAGTCTAATGTTATTAGACTAACAACTCCAGATTAAATCTATTAAACACATTCTAACTACTAAAGCTACAAAATCCCCTACATTGGTAACCATAAAACAAAAAAGATAATGACATAAAATTGCAAAGTATACTAAAGTTAGTTCAATTTCACATATCCCCCCCAAAAAGTACTGGGAAGGAACCATTGCTCAGTCAAGATACTACCTTTTCCTCAACACCATTTTTTTTTTTAATTCAGAAGGGGATATTGTCTATATTTAGATCAGTAATAATAAAGAAAAACATGTACCTTTCTGTTGGGATAACCACTTTGACTATGGCTTGCGACAGAGTCTGTATATGAAGTCACATCAGATAATAAACATAGAATATGTGAGTATTGTTAACAAGTAACAAGCAAAAATATACATATGCATTGAAAATACTACACATCTAATCACAAGTTTTGCAGGCAATCACTGCATTTGAAGTAATTATACACTAAGCAATTACATAAATGCAAATGGATGTGTTCAGTGAACAGTAAACGTTCACCAAATGCAAAGAATCAGAACATTCCTGCCAGAATGCACATCAATGCACTGAAATAGGTACTACACTGAGAATTATCAGATAAAGATTTTAATTTGTGAAATCATTAACTGTTTGCCTCTGACCATACAGTTTGCTACTTTGTTCCCAAGCCTTTAAAACCAGCCCTGTCATTTTAAGTGTAATTAATTCATAATAGAACCAACAAATTCTTATAACTTGAAATTAAGTTGGTTTTATGTTTAACAAAAAGAAAATACTCACCCTTTGCTTTTACTAGAGAAGCTAACTTTTTAAAAACCATATATGCTCTCAAATATTCTAATACCTTAGATCTTGAAAACGAAGTTATTAGCTAGCTGCCATCCAAACAATTTAACTATTTAGGAGTCTTTCTAACTGAAAAGGCACTTAACCAAATACAAAGTATCACTTTCTCAAAACAAAGTAAATTTAGATACTACGCTTAAGCAAACCTGGATACAACAGTGGACAAAGGAAAAAAAAAAACTTAATAAGTGGTCAAAAAAGGAATGATAGCCACAAATAAAAATATGACCTAGCATCCCAATACAGGGTTTCCATGGGCTAAGGCAGGGAACACATCTAAGTTATTTCATTTTCTTTAAGAGTTGCCAAACAGAATTACACACACACTTTCTATAAATTGTTGAAAAGAAATACTACCACAGATTTAGTATTTACAAATTAGATGCAGCCCTATGTACATTTTTTAAATTACCTTCTCAAAATCCTCCTTGTTTTTAGGTGGTGGTAACATGGGAGCATTGGGGTTTTTTAACCGCTCTCTAGGCTGCGCATTAAAAGGCAGTCCTGACGGAGGTGGGGGAAGCGTATGTTCCATCATGGAAGGCGGAATGTATATTGGATGTGGAGGAATAGGCACAGCTTTACCCCAACCTAACTTCATTTCAAAAGACATAATCATCTTTCCTAAAAGAAAGAAAAGAAAAGTCACCCTGGTAACTCTCAAAAGAAAATAAGGGCTCTCTGGTGATTTAAATTAATTTTCATGTTTAACCTTTACCTTTCTGGTCCATTTTTCCCCTGAGTTTTTATAAATACTTTTCAAAACCAAAGCAATATCTGAGTTCTACAGATGGGCTTCCTTACCATTTAAGTTTTTTAAAGCTCTTTCAGCATCTCTTCTATTCATAAAGGCCACAAAGCCACAATTTCTCTCTCTTGCCCTTTCTTCATCAGTTCTGGGCCACATAATTTTCACGCTGGCTAGGGGCCCAAATCTTCCAAACTCCTGGCACAACATTTCTTCATTCATCTATTAAAAGGCATAAGATATTTTTGGTAAGCAAAGAGGAAAGAATAAAGAACTCTATGCAGCACACAGCAGCTTTTGCAAAATGAGAAGAGACCTATCAATGCTACAGCTTTCCATTCAAGTACTGGGACCTCTACAAGGGTAAAATCCTGCCTTCATGGGGCACGCACAAATCTTTTCACACCAGAAACATCCTGTTTTACGTAAGTGGCCGGGTGAAGAGGCTGGGTGGCTGGAGAAATCAAAAGCACACCTTTACCTTCACTCTTCCTCCCCCTGAGATCCTGCACCTAAAATACGCTTTCTACAGCAATGGTTTGTGCAGCATTTAGCAACCTTTTTCAGGCAGCAATGATTACCACATTTAAGTCAAGGAGGAAATATTTGTTGGCAATGAAAGAAATAAAGGATCTGGTCACTTTTTCTTTTTCCAGCAACCAGCTGCCAGTGTAATCAAGAACAGAGAAAACAAAAAAGGGTAAGTATGCAATGAGATCCAAAATATATATTATTTTTTAAAAGATCTTATTATGCAGAACAACCACTACATTCCCCATAACAATTAAGAATGAAGCAGGGGAAAGAATTAAAATATAAAAGACAAAGCAGAAATATTAGTTTGTTATTAAGATGAAAAAAGAAAAAAATCCATAAGGAAGTAGGCTATGCATCAGAAGGGGACAGTCTCAAAAGAATATTGTCTACCAATGGTCATATCCTGATAAATAAAATCAGCACCTAGCAAAACATTTCAAAATCAGAGGACAGTCCAGTTACAGCAAGAGGAGACAGGGACTTCCCTCGCGGTGCAGTGGTTAAGAATCTGCCTGCCAATGCAGGGAACACGGGTTTGAGCCCTGGTGTGGGAAGATCCCACATGCCACGGAGCAACTAAGCCTGTGTGCCACAACTACAGTGCCCAGGTGCTGCAACTACCACATGCCTAGAGCACGTGCTCCACAACAGAGAAGCCACCACAAGAAGAAGCCCACACACCACCACGAAGAGTAGCCCCCACTCACTGTAACTAGAGCAAGCCTGCGCACAGCAAGGAAGACCCAACGCAGCCAAAAACTTTTAAAAGAAATAAGAAGAAGAAGAAAAGCAAAGCTAAATAAATGTATTTAAAAAAAAAGAAAAGAAAAGAAAAGAAAAAAAGAGGAGACCAAGCCCTTAGGAATTGTAGCAAGAAAATTCAGCCCATACCGCTAAGGCTCAATTTCACAAGGTAATTTTAGAGACTTATCTAGTTCCACCAAATCTGCTTACTTCAGATTCTGGACTTCATTTTTTTTAATGACTGACAGTTTTCCTACAAAAGTATACAGCATATGAGCCAACATTCATCCTACTTTCCTAATATTACCTGTGGATTAATGTTTCCAAGGTATAAATTAGTAGTGCTTGGATCTCCTACATCATGTGAACCAGGTGCATAATCATCAAGAACTAGGACAAAGAGAAGAAAAAATTATAACCTGCAAAATACAAAGTTTGGACAATTTCTATGAATTAAAACAAGCAAAAAACTGTATTACCACCAGATGATCTATTTCTTCTTGAAGGCGCATCCACTTTAAAAGGGGGAAAAGAAAACAATTCTTAGTTTTTGGAATAGTTCGTCACAAAAACAAACATTAAAATAAATGTCACTTACTAGAACGACGCTGACCATCAGAATCTGACTGAGGCGGCTCAAATCGACTTAACCTGCCTTTTGTTTTATGTCTCTCATCACGCTCTTCTTGAATTCTGTTGAAAATATATATAATCACTAATAACGAGCCAAAATTTGTTTGTTCACATTTAATAACAGAACTTATCCAGATATCATCTTGAAATAACCTGAAATATTTGTGTGTAATGCCAGTACTGACAACCAAGATTAAAGAGTCCCTCAGCTACAAATCATGAGCAAACTTCTGATATATCATGTAAGCAGTGGAATACAAAGCCCACTTCTAAGGTGAGAAGGAAATTCAACATTAAAACCACTTAATTTGTTCTTTCTTAGCTAAAGGCTGACCACTCCTCTCAGTGACTATATTGTTTCCACTGCAAACACGACTCCAGACATTAGTTAAATCAATTTAATTGCATCCACATAATAGAAGCAACCTAGATGCTGGACAAAATGCTAATTTCATTTTCAAACATAACCCACAAAATAATCTAAAACAGCCTCATGGTAAGCCAGTTAGTAAAAACGAATTGGTAGACTACATTCTTCATACCTGCATCTATAAGTATCAGCTCAAAATACCTATGAGAGCCTTCTCAACACTATAAAACTTACTGTTTCAATTCTTCTTTGAAGAGTTCCAAATTGCTTTTTTTCTTTTCTTTCTCGCCTTTCTTCAGTGGCTATGAAGGATATGATAAGTTATACTTCAAAGAAAACAACGTTAAACAAAACTAATGGTTCGATAATCAGATCACTTTAAATAAACTTTTATTTTAGTGCCAATTATGATCTAATTATTTAAATTAAAAAGAAAGGATGCTTCTGTTACCACTGAACTTTCCTTCCTATTTTCTAAAACTGAGAATTTAACACATTATTAAAACAACAAGCAGCAGTCTTAAAGGAGCCACCAACTCTATCCCCTGCCCCGCCCCTGCCCCAAAGCCTACAATACTTAGGCCGGAATACTGTTGGAAGGGTACTGGAGGGAAAATTAATAAATATAAGGTAACTGAACTGCCACGTAAGTAACTGCCGTGAACGACTACCAAAAATATGCACCTTCAAAACAATCACCTTAGAAGGAAATGAATTACTGAAACAAACAGTAACACCGCTGGAATTCCTCTCTTAAAACTGCTTCCAGGGCTTCCCTGGTGGCGCAGTGGTTGAGAGTCGCCTGCCAATGCAGGGGACACGGGTTCGTGCCCCGGTCCGGGAAGATCCCACATGCCGCGGAGCGGCTGGGCCCGTGAGCCATGGCCGCTGAGCCTGCGCGTCTGGAGCCTCTGCTCCGCAACGGGAGAGGCCACAACAGTGAGAGGCCCGCGTACCACAAAAAAAAGAAAAAAAAAAAACTGCTTCCAAAAATGCTTCTGGAATCCCTCTTTTGAAAGTGCCAAAATAATTCAATGGGGGAGAATAGTCTTTTTAACAAATGGAAGTACAGAAATTGAATATCCACCCATAAAAAAGAATGAAGTTGGACCTCTACCTCATAACATATACAAAAATTAACTCAAATGGTTCACAGACCTAAATATAAGACCTAAAAACATAGGAGCGGATCATCATGAGCCTGAATTCAGCAACAGTTTCTTAGATATGACACCATGAGAAACAAAAGAAAAGGCAACAACAACAAAAAACTGATAAACTAAACTTCATTAAAATTATAAGCTTTTGTTCTTCAAAGGACACTAACAAAAAAGGGCAAAGCCAACCCACAAACTGGGAGAAAACAACATAGCTGATAAGAAACTTGACTCTAGAAGCTGTAAAATACTCTTACAACTCAACAATAAAAAGACAAATAACTCAATTAAAAAATGCACGAAGGATCTGAAAAGACATTTCTCTACAGAAAACTCCAAGTGGATGATAAATAAAATGATGCTCAACATCACTAGGCAAGTGCAAAACAAAACCACAATTAGGTACAACTTCACACCCACTAAGTTGACTAAAATAATTTTAGCAAGTGGTGATGAAGATGTAGAAAAATTGGAACACTCATATACACTGCTGATGGGACTGTAAAGTGGTACAGCTACTGTGGAAAACAGTATGGCAGTTTCTCAAAAGGTTAAACAATTAGTGACCATATGACCAGCAATTCCACTCCTAGGAATATAAAAGAATTAAAAATATATGTCCACACAGAAGCCTATACATGAATGTTTTCAGAAGCATTACTCATAATAGCCAAAAAGTAGAAACAACCCAAATGTCCATCAAGTAATAAACGGATCAGCAATGTGAGGTGTATCTGCAAAATGGAATGTTATTCAACCATAAAAAGTAATAAAGTACTGATATATATACCAAAATGTAGATGAACTTTGAAACATTATGCTAAAAAGCCAGACACAAAAGGCCATATGCTGTATGATTCCATGTGCATGAAATGTCCAGAACAGGCAAATCCAAAGAGATAGAAAGATTAGTGGTTGCCAGAGGTTAGGGATGACTGAAATTAAGTATAAGGTTTCCTTCTGGGATGATAAAAATGCTTCAAAATTAGAGATTAGTGACTGTTGCACAACTGTCAACATACGTTAAAAAAAAACACTTAATAAAGCTGTTTTTTAAATTGCTTTCAGAGCTATTTTCAGAGCTATTTTAAAAGTCACACAAGAAAAATCAGTCTCACTATTCAGCATAATCACATTTCCTCAAATCTGGCTCCAAATGACAAGACCCACATCTACCTACCATCCCCCATGAAAAATCCCACTCTCAAAACATAAAGACTTTCTAACACTGAGAATATTTAAAGGAAAGTGTCACTAGTTCTGATAGTAAATACAAATAAATTCCAAAAATGTTCCAGGCAACAGGCACACTGTTGGAGTACAGTCTTCCAAAGTAATTGATACTATACATGCTGATATTTAAATACCCAAGTTCAGCATTGCTTAAAAAGACAATCCCATTATTTTACATGTATGCCTAAACTATAGTTAACTTTCAACTTGCAGTATGCTATGAGTAACAGCAAATGTTCACTGCTCAACAAACATAAAAAGAGTATCATCTATGTGTCCTAATTTATTATCTCTCATCTAGGAAGGTTAAGCATCAAAACTCAACATCTACTACCAAAATAATTAGAAACGAGAAACCAAAGTCCTGCTTACAGTGGAAGTACAGAAAATATTATTGGCAGTGTCATCTCTGAACATAAATGGTCACTTATTTAAGTATGACTTACAGGTTTTTTGGTTTCTATCACAAGAAGAGATGGTGGTCTTTCATTGGAGGACTGATTTGGAGGATTTTTTTGATCTGCAAATCTTGAAGATGGCTTATAGATTTTACCTCTTTTTTCATCTGTTTCATGTTCTTCTGAAATGTAAAATACTAAGTTTCAAAACTAATTTCACATTATGTGGATTTTGTTCACTTACTATTTTTATTAAAAATAAACACAACTTAGTAAAATGCTTTTAGCATTAAGATATATCACTAGTGACAAAATATGAAATTTAATTCAAATATTATTCAAATATTACTGCCTTACTCTCAAAAATACTAATTTAATCATTTTATAGTAAAACTATAAAACCTGTAAAATGGTACAGCTACTTTGGAAAACAGTACAGCAGTTTCTCAAAAGGTTAAACAAATAGCTACCATATGAGTAGCAACTCCACTCCTAGGAATATACAGTAAAACTATAAAATACTTGAAAACGTTTGCAAAGTTCTCTGACATCTTGAAACCTAAAAGGTACTAAAACATTTTTTAAACTTATCTGGCTCCAATTTGTCATTAATCCACATTTGGCCATTAATTTTACTAATCATTATCACCACTAGAGGGTGCTGATAGAAAGGAAACATGAAACTCAAAAGCAATTCAACCAAGACTTTGGGTTTGCTCAAGGACTATAATATTCGCACTAACCTTTAGCTGCATTAACAACACCTCCACGCACAAACGTTTTCACTTTATTACCATCACTTCCTTCAAAGGCGGCAAGAAATTCCTCATAAATTTCAGCAGCCGCCTTTTCATCCTCCTAAATACACACGAAAATATTAACATCACTTGATATAAAAATTACTGTATATACGGTGAAACTCATCCAAGAATAATGTAAACAAAACCTCTCCCTCCAAAGGGGAAAGCAGGTTATTAAGCAACCGTAACAGGCAGTAATATCTAATGCTTACTAGATATTTAACATACTAATTAACACTGGAATTAAGAGGAGCTTTGCTCCTCTACAGGTAATTTGTGGAACAAGAAAGGGACCCACTAAGTAAATCTGTTTAGAGACAATTCAAGGGTCCAACTGTATGAAAACAGACTACACAAAATATATTATTCTATTAACGTTTATGACATTTCTAAGGCACAACAATTTAACTCTGAATATAAACATTTCCTTCACAAACCACTGAAGACATGAGTATTAGAAGTCTGAAGAAGCAATATCTCCAGACACTTGGCATTAGAGAAAAAAACCTCAAAAGAGGGCTTCCTTGGTGGCGCAGTGGTTGAGAGTCCGCCTGCCGATGCAGGGGACGCGGGTTCGTGCCCCGGTCCGGGAAGATCCCACGTGCCGCGGAGCGGCTGGGCCCTGAGCCGTGGCCGCTGAGCCTGCGTGTCCGGAGCCTGTGCTCCGCAACGGGAGAGGCCACAACAGTGAGAGGCGCGCGTACCGCAAAAAAAAAAGAAAAACCTCAAAAGAACCTTGACAATTATAACTATTCTATTTTTTTCTTTTTTTTTTTCTTTTTTGCAGTACACGGGCCTCTCACTGCTGTGGCCTCTCCCGTTGCGGAGCACAGGCTCCAGACGCGCAGGCTCAGCGGCCATGGCTCACATGGGATCTTCCTGAACCGGGGCACGAACCCGCGTCCCCTGCATCGGCAGGCGGACTCTCAACCACTGCGCAACCAGGGAAGCCCAATTATAATTATTCTAAATGTCCCCAAAACATGCATGAATAGGAAGGCCAACAGAACAGAAAATATAGAAATAAATACAATAGCACGTGGAAATTTAGTATTCAATAAAAAGGGCCTCTCAAATCAGTGGAGAATAGATGGACTTTTCAATGAATGATGGTGGGATAATTTGATAGTTATTTGAAAAAAGATAAAAATGAACAAATTCTTCACATCACATACCAGGAGAAATTGCAAATGAATCAGATTTAATTTTTTTTAAATGTAAGTACTGGGAAAAACATGAGGAAATTCCTTTAAAAGCTTGGGGTAACAAAATGTAAACTAGGGGCTTCCCTGGTGGCGCAGTGGTCGAGAGTCCACCTGCTGATGCAGGGGACACGGGTTCGTGCCCCGGTCTGGGAAGATCCCACATGCCGCGGAGCCATGGCTGCTGAGCCTGCGCATCCGGAGCCTGTGCTCCGCAACGGGAGACGCCACAACAGTGAGAGGCCCACGTACCGGGGGGGGGGGGGGGGGGGGATGTAAACTGAAAAACCAGAAATCATAAGACTGATAATAAATCTGACCATATAAAAAAAATAGTTTCTGCATGGAAAAAAAACACCAGAAGCAAAATAAAAAGGCAACAAACTGAATAAGAACACTGTACCTTATGTCACAGACAAGTGTTACAATATACTTAATACAGGAGTTTCCAAAAACAGAGATATCCTACTAACTTAGAGAAATATTGGTTTAGATATGAGCAGACAGTTCACAAAATGAAACACAAGAAAAGTTATTCAACCTTACTTATAAAAGAAATGCACATTTAAAACTACACCGAGATACAATTTTTCACTTAGCAGATTGGCAAAAGTCCTTCAAAAATACTGGCAAGGCTACAGGGAACCCACCTCTCAAACACCACTTATAGGGATACAAAATGGACCTGCCCATATATACGAGAGACCAATTTAACACTATCTTGCAGAATTACAGCTATGCATTTACCATTCAACCCAGTAATCCCACTTATAGGAATATACCCTAAAGATACACTATGAATAAACCTATATGCCTAACACTATCCCTAAGTGCACCACCGGAAACAGCCAAAGACCAAAACAAAAATGCCCTCAATAGGCATTGTAGTGAATGTAGGATTTTAGTGAATAAACTATGGCACATCTATAGAGCTATAAAAAAAGAACAAGCAATATTTCAATATACTTCCAGTAATCTCTAAGATATAATGTTAAGTGAAAAAGCAAGGTGGAGAAAAGTGTACTGAATATAGCAAGCTATTGTTCATCTACGAAAGAGCAGGCACAACATACATTTATACAAACTTGCTTATACAAAAAGAATAGACCAGAAAACAATCAAAACTCTTACTTACACAGAAGAGAGGAAATGGTGGAGGGGACAGGGATAAAGCTGGACTTCTCCGAATATATCTTGTGTTATAGACTTACCATGGGGTGGGAGCTGAGAATACCCTGGAGGACAAGAATCTCTGAAAAACATTTCTCTACTGTCCATACACTTAACGCCTCTGTAGACACACTTATAAAGATAACTAAAAATACATTTTAAGCATTACCTTCTTCTTTAATTCTTCTTGCTCCTTCTTACTTAAAGTTCGCTTAGCTGTACTCATTTTTCCAATACTGAATGCTTTAAGTTTGTTTTCTAGAAGAGGCTGTGAAAAGAAATAAAAAGCATACCTTTACATACACATTCTCAATTTAACTTGTTATTAACCTCAAGGCTAATAACTTACAAAAGCCATTTTTAAATACATAAAGTAAAAATAAAACACAAAGGGAGACACAAAGGCTTAGAACTCACTCAACCTACTTGGCGGCACGAATAAAAGCACTTGAGGAAGGGAAGTATAGATGTTTCTGGGCAAAAGAAGCAGGGATAGAAAAAAGACATTCAAATAGGGAGAAAGAGGCATCTACGTTCAGTAGCAGGAATCATTACCATCTAGAACCCCCAATTCAATTCAGGTACAAAAATCGCATCACTTGCTTTTGTAATTCAGTAAATTACCTAATTCTTCATCAACAAAACTGATGTTTATGAACAAAATAATTTCATTTTCATTGCTGGGAAAATATCACATACTGTGTTCTAGGTTTCACACAAGTGAACAGTCATCAATTAATTTTGAATATGAGAAAATAGTATTTTAATGAATTCTTCATTTATGTAACTTAGAAGCAATTTCCTTGTAAATATGGTTTGAACAAACTGTAGACTTTTAATTGTTCAGTTATTTATCTGAATGATAATTTTGAGTCATAAACTTTTTTTTTGGCGGTATGTGGGCCTCTCACTGCTGTGGCCTCTCCCGCTGCAGAGCACAGGTTGCAGATGCGCAGGCTCAGTGGCCATGGCTCACGGGCCCAACCGCTCTGCAGCATGCAGGATCTTCCCGGACCGGGGCACGAACCTGTGTCCCCTTCATCGGCAGGCGGACTCTCAACCACTGCGCCACCAGGTAAGCCCTGAGTCATAAACTTTTAAAAGAGAGGAATGTGTATTAACTACAGCCTAGAATGCTTCAAGATGGCGGAGTAGAAGGATGTGCTTTCACTCCCTCTTGAAAAAGCACAGGAATCACAACTAACTGCTGAGCAATCATCAACAGGAAGACACTGGAACTCACCATAAAAGATACCCCACATCCAAAGACAAAGGAGAAGCCACACTGAGATGGTAGGAGGGGCACAATCACAATAAAACCAAATCCTGTAACTGCTGGGTGGGTGACTCACAAACTGGAGAACACTTATACCACAGAAGTCCACCCCATGGAGTGAAGGTTCTGAGCCCCACGTCAGGCTTCCCAACCTGGGGGTCCAGCAACAGGAGGAGGAATTCCTAAAGAATCAGACTTTGAAGCCTATCGGGATTTGATTGCAGGACTTCCACGGGACTGTGAGAAACAGAGACTCCACCCTTGGAGGGCACGCACAAAGTAGTGTGCGCATCGGGACCCAAGGGAAGGAGCAGTGACCCCAAGGGAGACTGAACCAGACCTACCTGCTGGTGTTGGGAAGCTCTCCTGCAGACGCGGGGGGGCGGGCTATGGCTCAGGTGAGGACAAGGACACTGGCAGCAGAAGTTCTAGGAAGTACTCTTTGGTGTGAGACTTCCCAGGGTCCGCCATTAGCCCCACCAAAGAGCCCAGGTAGGCTCCAGTTTTGGGTCCCCTCAGGCCAAAAAGCCAACAGGGAGGGAATTCAGCCCCACCCATCAACAGACGAGAGGATTAAAGTTTTACTGAGCTCTGCCCACCAGAGCACACCCACCTCTACCCACCATCAGTCCCTCCCATCAGGAAACTTGCACAAGCCTCTTAGATAGACTCATCCACCAGAGGGCAGACAGCAGAAGCAAGAACAACTACAATCCTGCAGCCTGTGGAACAAACACCACATTCACAGAAAGACAGACAAGATGAAAAGGCAGAGGGCTATATACCAGATGAAGGAACAAGATAAAACCCCAGAAAAACAACTAAATGAAGTGGAGATAGGCAACCTTCCAGAAAAAGAATTCAGAATAATGATAGTGAAGATGATCCAGGACCTCGGAAAAAGAATGGAGGCAAAGATCGAGAAGATGTAAGAAATATTTAACAAAGACCTAGAAGAATTAACGAACAAACAGAGATGAACAACACAATAACTGAAATGAAAACTACACTAGAAGGAATCAATAGCAGAATAACTGAGGCAGAAGAACAGATGAGTGACCTGGAAGACAGAATGGTGGAATTCACTGCCACAGAACAGAATAAAGAAAAAAGAATGAAAAGAAATGAAGACAGCCTAAGAGACCTCTGGGACAACATTAAACGCAACAATATTCGATTATAGAGGTCCCAGAAGGAGAAGAGAAAGGACCCCAGAAAATATCTGAAGAGATTATAGTTGAAAACTTCCCTAACATGGGAAAGGAAACAGCCACCTAAGTCCAAGAAGAGCAGAGTCCCAGAAAGGATAAACCCAAGGAGAAACAGGCCGAGACATATAGTAATCAAATTGGCAAAAATTAAAGACAAAGAAAAATTATTGAAAGCAACAAGGGAAAAATGACAAATACCATACAAGGGAACACCCATAAGGTTAACAGCTGATTCCTCAGCAGAAACTCTACAAGCCAGAAGGGAGTGGCAGGACATATTTAAAGTGATGAAAGGGAAGAAACTACAACCAAGATTACTCTACCCCACAAGGATCTCATTAAGATTCAATGGAGAAATCAAAAGCTTTACAGACAAGCAAAAGCTAAGAGAATTCAGCACCACCAAACCAGCTCTACAACAAATGCTAAAGGAACTTCTCTAAGTGGGGGACACAAATGAAAAAAAGGACCTACAAAAACAAACCCAACACAATTAAGAAAATGGTCATAGGAACATACATATCAATAATTACCTTAAACGTCAATGGATTAAATACTCCAACCAAAAGACACAGGCTGGCTGAATGGATACAAAAACAAGACCCATATATATGCTGTCTACAAGAGACCCACTTCAGACGTAGGGACACATACAGACTGAAAGTGAGGGGATGGAAAAAGATATTCCATGCAAATGGAAATCAAAAGAAAGCAGGAGTAGCAACAGTCATATCAGACCAAATAGATTTTAAAATAAAGAATCTTACAAGAGACAAGGAAGAACACTACATAAGGATCAAGGGATCAATCCAAGAAGAAGAGATAACAATTATAAATATATACGCACCCAACATAGTAGCACCTCAATATATAAGGCAACTGCTAACAGCTATAAAACTGGAAATCGACAGTAACACAATAACAGTGGGGGACTTTAACACCTCACTTACACTAATGGACAGATCATCCAAAGAGAAAATACCTAGAGACAAATGACAACGAAAACCTCGATCCAAAACCTATGGGATGCAGCAAAAGCAGTTCTGAGAGGGAAGTTTATAGCAATTCAAGCCTACCTCAAGAAACAATAAAAGCGTCAAATAAACAACCTAACGTTACACCTAAAGGAACTAGAGAAAGAAGAGCAAACAAAACCCAAAGTTAGCAGAAGGGAAGAAATCATAAAGATCAGAGCAGAAATAAATGAAATAGAAATGAAGAAAACAATAGCAAAGATCAATAAAACTAAAAGCTGGTTCTTTGAGAAGATAAACAAAATTGATAAACCATTAGCCAGACTCATCAAGAAAAAGAGGGAGAGGACTCAAATCAATAAAATTAGAAATGAAAAAGGAGAAGTTACAACAGACACCAGAGAAATACAAAGCATCCTAAGAGACTACTACAAGCAACTCAACGCCAATAAAATGGACAACCTGGAAGAAATGGACAAATTCTTAGAAAGGTATAACCCTCCAAGACTGAACCAGGAAGAAATAGAAAATATGAACAGACCAATCACAAGTAATGAAACTGAAAGTGTGATTAAAAATCTTCCAACAAACAACAGTCCAGGACCAGATGGTTCCACAGGTGAATTCTATCCAACATTTACAGAAGAGCTAACACCCATCCATCCTTTTCAAATTCTTCCAAAAATTGCAGAGGAAGGAACACTCCCAAACTCATTCTAGGAGGCCACCATCACCCTGATACCAAAACCAGACAAAGATACTACAAAAAAAGAAAACTACAGACCAGTATCACCGATGAACATAGATCCAAAAATCTTCAAAAAACATATTAGCAAACAGAATCCAACAACACATTAAAAGGATCATACACCATGATCAAGTGGGATTTATCCTAGGGATGCAAGGATTCTTCAATATACGCAAATCAATCAATGTGATACACCATGTTAACAAACTGAAGAAGAAAAACCATATGATCATCTCAATACATGCAGAAAAAGCTTCTGACAAAATTCAACACCCATTTATGATAAAAACTATCCAGAGAGTGGGCATAGAGGGAACCTACCTCAAGATAATAAAGGCCATATATGACAAACCCACAGCAAACATCATTCTCAATGGTGAAAAACTGAAAGCATTTCCTCTAAGATCAGGAACAAGACAAGGATGTCCACTCTCATCACTATCATTCAACAGTTTTAGAAGTCCTAGCCACAGCAATCAGAGAAGAAAAAGAAATAAAAGGAATACAAATTGGAAAAGAAGTAAAACTGTCACTGTTTGCAGATGACATGATACTATACATAAAGAATCCTAAAGATGCCACCAGAAAACTACTAGAGCTAAGCAATGAATCTGGTAAAGTTGCAGGATACAAAATTAATGCACAGATATCTCTTGCATTCCTATACACTAATGATGAAAAATCTGAAAGAGAAATTAAGGAAACACTCCCATTTACCACTGCAACAAAAAGAATAAAATACCTAAGAATAAATGTACTTAGGGAGACAAAAGACCTGTATGCAGAAAACTATAAGACACTGATGAAAGAAATTAAAGATGATACAAACAGATGGAGAGATATACCATATTCTTGGATTGGAAGAATCAATATTGTGAAAATGACTATACTACCCAAAGCACTCTATAGCTTCAATGCAAGCCCTATCAAATTACCAATGGCATTTTTTACAGAACTAGAACAAAAAAATCTTAAAATTTGTATGGAGACACAAAAGGCCCCGAACAGCCCAAGCAGTCTTGAGGGGAAAAAAACGAAGCTGGAGGAATCAGACTCCCTGACTTCAGACTATACTACAAAGCTACAGTAATCAAGACAGTATGGTACGGGCACAAAAACAGAAACATAGATCAATGGAACAGGATAGAAAACTCAGAGATAAACCCAAGCACCTGTGGTCAACTAATCTATGGCAAAGGAGGCAAGGATATACAATGGAGAAAAGACATTCTCTTTAATAAGTGGTGCTGGGAAAACTGGACAGCTACATGTAAAAGAATGAAATTAGAACACTCCCTAATACCATGTACAAAAATAAACTCAAAATGGATTAGAGACCTAAATATAAGACCAGACACTACAAAGTTCTTAGAGGAAAACATAGGAAGAACACTCTTTGACATAAATCACAGCAAGATCTGTTTTGATCCACCTCCTAGAGTAATGGAAATAAAAACAAAAGTAAACAAATGGGACCTAATGAACCTTAAAGCAAGGAAACTACAAACTTTTGCAAAGCAAAGGAAACTACAAACAAGACAAAGAGACAACCCTCAGAATGGGAGAAAATATTTGCAAACAAATCAATGGACATAGGATTAATCTCCAAAATATATAAACAGCTCATGCAGCTCAATATTAAAAAAAAACAAACAACCCAATCAAAAAATGGGCAGAAGACCTAGACATTTCTCCAAAGAAGACATACAGATGGCCAAGAAGCACATGAAAAGCTTCTCAACATTACTAATTACTAGAGAAATGCAAATCAAAAATACAATGAGGTATCACCTCACACCAGTTAGAATGGGATTCATCAGAAAATCTACAAACAACAAATGCTGGAGAGGGTGTGGAGAAAAGGGAACCCTCCTGCACTGTTGGTGGGAATGTAAATTGATATAGCCACTATGGAGAACAGTATGGAGATTCCTTAAAAAACTAAAAACAGAATTACCATATGACCCAGCAATCCCACTACTGGGCATATACCCAGAGAAAACCATAATTCAAAAACACACATGCACCCCAATGTTCACTGCAGCACTATTTACAATAGCCAGGTTACGGAAGCAACTTAAATGCCTATCGAATGGATAAAGAAGACGTGGTACATACATACAGTGGAATATTACTCAGCCATAAAATGGAACAAAACTGGGTCATCTGTAGAGATGTGGATGGATCTAGAGACTGTCATACAGAGTGAAGTAAGTGAGAAAGAGAAAAACAAATATCATATATTAACACATATATGTGGAACCTAGAAAAATGGTACAGATGAACTGGTTTGCAGGGCAGAAATTGAGACACAGATGTAGAGAACAAACGTATGGACACCAAGGGGGGAAAGCAGTGATGGGTGGTGGTGGTGTGATGAATTGGGAGTTTGGGATTGACATATATACACTAATATGTAAAAAATGGATAACTAATAAGAACCTGCTATATAAAATAATAAATTAAATAAAATTCAAAAATACAGTGTAAAGTATTCATCTGCAGTTGAAATCTGAAGGTTTCTCTCTCACCTACCAAAATGAGAAGTTAACCAATTATGAAATTAAACTATCAATCCCTTGGTTATTAAACAGGCTTGCCCTTGGCAAGATACAAAATGGAAAAGTAATACTGCTGCAAACTACTTCAAGGTTACATTAAAATCCCTTTAAAAAAACAAAGCAGTTCATAACTCAAAAGTCAATACTGGGTTTCACGAACACATTCAAAGTAAGTTTTTTCCCAAAATAGAAAGGAAAACTGTTCTGCCATCATTCAGCACCTTTGGTTTCAACTGCTGAAGTTTAAACAAATGGTAAAATTACATACAAATTCAATGAGAAACATAATTTTACAAAGCAAAATTTTTGTCCTCAATTTTATTTATATCCTAAGAGCCAAACTTAGATACCTAAGAGAGAAATGGTTAAGGAAATTATGGAATACTTACTCAAAAAATATAATCATCCATTAAAGTTTGTTTACAGAGTTTTTCCTAAAATTAGAAAAAATTAGACCTGAAGAATCTTATAAAATGTGTTCCTGTAAAATGGACCTCAGCCAAGTAAAAATATATTTATGCTTAAAAATATTAAACAAGAAAAATAAAGTGTTATCAATATCAATACTGGCTGGTAATGACTGTCCTCCTTTATATTTTCCAAATTTAACCATGACAAGAAAACATTATTTGAAATTTAAAAAAGACTAAAAGGGGCTTCCCTGGTGGCGCAGTGGTTGAGAGTCCGTCTGCCAATGCAGAGGACACGGGTTCGTGCCCTGGTCTGGGAGGATCCCACATGCCGTGGAGCGGCTGGGCCCGTGAGCCATGGCCGCTGGGCCTGCGCGTCCGGAGCAACGGGAGAGGCCACAACAGTGAGAGGGCCGCGAAACGCAAAAAAAAAAAAAAAAGACTAAAAGAACACGAGAGTACTTTGCAGGTACAGGCAGTGAAGATGCTCCTTCTCTGGGTGCTTGCAGCACCCTGGGAACTGCACTGACCAGAGTGAACAGCACCTGCTCCTGTTAGCTTCCCAGGCTGGGACTATGAGCTGAGAACAAGAAGTGTGTTTTAATCATCTGTGTATTTCCAGTGACTGGCCTCTGGCACTTGGTTCAGTAAATGTTTGGCATAAGGGGAGAACAATAAATCTATTAACCATTTTACATTCAAAACACTCCTTGGTTTTTTAAAATAAAATTAAAATTTTTTAATGAAACATATCTTACATATGAGCTAAAAAACATTTCCTTAGATGAGTCTGAATTTATTGTTAACCCAAATAGAATAATGAGTGCTATTTTCGAATAGTACAAGATGACACAACAGGCACAAAACCAAGATATTCAACTACCAAATTCAATCAAGGGCAGATCAAAATCATTATCTATCCTTTCTTATCTTTATCAATACTTACTCTTGAGAGATTCTGATGAGGAGAGTCACAAACATTTTCACGGGTACTTTCATTCCTATAATTATGCTTTCTTGGGCTCTTAGGTCGTGTCCGACTTGGCATATCACTATCTGAGGGTCCAGATGCATCCATCTTCGAGAAAAGGAAAATGAGTTTTTAAAAATCATATATGTAGTACTGAAACTAGAATCAACCCAAATGTCCAAATATTGACAAACTTCATTTTACACTATCAAAATATTTCACTAATTATCCCTTAATCCCATCCCTTAATACCTCTGATTTCATCAGAAAAGTCCTTAAGTACAGGAAGTTTTCAATAATTCTAACTTGCACTTGAAAGATCAAATTTTATATCACTAACAAATAGTTGTTTTCCTTAAAACAACAGGTTTCCTTCATTTTCAAGAAAATATCTGCCAAACACCCAAGTCTGACTAACCACAGTTCGTCTGTCAGTTGTACCTTCAAGTAAAAATGGTATTCCATCAAAGGAGCCAGTTTTATTTCAGAACTTAAACAATCCCACAAGTATTATACTTTTCCTCAAGACAAACACCACACTTTGGCAAGCAGAAGTGCCTTATATGTGCCTCCCATTTCATCACTCAGAATGTTAAAAACACCCATACACAAGGACAAGATTTAATATTAATAATTTTTACTGCTTCATCAAGAACATTCTTAAGTGAAACTAGCATATTTTTACTGTCTGGAGAGGAATAACACAATGACTACTAGCACATTTTGGCGACATTGCCTTGATACATGCTAAGGTGCCAACAATTTACCCATTAACTGCTTTTGCACTATTAGTGCAAATGTCAACACAGTGATAGCAAATGATGTCTTAGTGTTATTACAAAATAGTTCTGAATTCAGCCACCCTGAAAAATTCTCAGCAACCCCAGGGGTCTGAAGACCACGCTCTTAGCACTGCTATAATAACACATGTAAAGGAAAGTTTATTGCAGTATTATTCAAATGTCAAAAAGCTTGAAACAAAACGTCTATGCCCACCAACAGAGAAATAGCTTAATAAATAATTGCACCTCCCCTGTGGAACATTAAGATACCATTAGAAAGACTAGATTAGAGCTGTATCTGTTGACTTGCAGGGATTTGCAATAGGTGTACTGTGCACTGTGAAAAGAAATGTGTATAACGCAAAACTTGTTAAAAAAATGTATTAAGCACACACACCTATGTATGTACAAAATTTTACAAGCACAGTAAAAAAGAAAAAAAAGGAAATATACACACTTGGTTTCTAACATGGTTTGAGGGGCCAACTTACGTGAATAACAGAACACAAAAAAAAGAACACAGAACATCTAGCAAAAAAGGTTAAAGAAAATATGCACATACAATGCAATCATATTTATTTATCAAGTAAAATCATAAGGGACATATCAAGTAGGGATATATACAATAAGAAATTAAATTTTAAGGAAAAAAGACAACGGTTGCCTTTTATACTCACGTGGGCATCTGAAGATCCAGATGAATGAACATCTGATGATCTGGTCTGCAAGCATTAAAAATAAAAGCCAACATTTAAATAATCAGAAAATGTATTATGCTAACAAAACAAGTATTTCTTGTGTTACACAGACAATCTTTCCAAACTTGTAGCAATTTCTTCTCAGCTAATAAAACCAAACAAAGGCAATCTCTGACTTACAAAAAAAAATTGTGATCCAAAATAAATGTGTCAGTCAAGTTCAGCCTTCAAATGATGGCCCTTTCCAATAAGGTGAAGTGTTAAAGTTTCACCTGATTTTGTTTTAACTGATCTACATTTCAGATTACATATGGCATATAATAATTTATTTGATTTTTCACTATGCAGCTAAGGATGAAGAAGCCAAGCTATAACACTATTAACTAAATAAATAATATGTGGTATCTTTCTGAAATTTTAATTGGAGGCCCAGAATTTAACTCTGGCACTGAGTTGTTTTTATTTTTCAAGGTATTGGGTAGTGAGATTTTACTTATTTTATATATATATTTAAGTATTAAAAGTGAAATCAAGAATCTTGAGATCACAAGTACCTCATCGATCCTAGCTCCCAGTTCTAGATTTCAAACGTAATGCACAAGACAATATATCCATTTTTAAGAAAACATTGAAGATTTGTATGATGTAGAAAAAAGCCAGTAAGATTCCTATGGGTCCACACAGTACTGCTTTACTTATCTTGTTGAAACATAAGGCTAAGAACAGCTGATTGGATTTTCATACTGAATCAATTTATTCCTCTGAACTCCATACTGGACCCTAGGCAAAATCAGCCCAAGACAACCAAGCACTGAGCCACCAGCCATCTCCATTCTTTCTACCCATCTTTTTTCTGTCCCCAACTTTTACTGTGTCCCTCCTATTTCACTTTCTTCTCCCTGCTAACCTTTCCTAAAAGGCAAGGTAGCATGAAAGAAATTTTTTTATATTTAAATTTAACCCTATGAAACCTACTTTGAATCTGTTTGAAATGCACCCATTTGCAGACACTTAAAAAATACAAGAGAATAAATAACTCCTCTTAAAAAAGAAAAAAAGGGGGCTTCCCTGGTGGTGCAGTGGTTGAGAGTCCACCTGCCGGTGTAGGGGACACGGGTTCGTGCCCCGTTCCGGGAAGATCCCACATGCCGCGGAGCAGCTGGGCCCGTGGGCCATGGCCGCTGAGCCTGCGCATCCGGAGCCTGTGCTCCGCAACAGGAGAGGCCACGACAGTGAGAGGCCCGCGTACCGCAAAAAAAAAAAAAAAAAAAAAAAAGAAATAAAAAGTTCCGTCAAGAGACTGAGTGAATTGAGGAGGAAAAAAAAAAATTCAATTGCCTTCTAATATACCAGTGTTAACCTGCTAGGTAACAAAAATAACACGGTAATCATAATAGTGAGAAAATACATAAAACACCTAGAAACCAACTAAAGAAATATGTACCACCTGTGGGAAGAAAATACAAACTTCACAAAAGGGTTGTTATTCAAGTCAACTTTTGAAAAGACTCATCACATTCCTAGATGGGAAAACTCATTATTAAGACAAAGTCAACTACACCTAAATTTATTTATGCATTTAACGCAATTTCATTCCACAGCTCAAAATCCTAAAGGGAAGTCTCTGCAACGGGACAAGGGAGATTGCCAAAAATAATTCTGAAGTTCAGCCAGAAGAATAAGCACGAAAGAGCAGCTAAGAAAGTACTAGCTTTTCTATAATCTATACCACCACATCCAAATCATCATTTCTAGGATTTAAAAATAACAGCATGGCTTAGGACGATGCATCAGCTGATTTCAATTAACCTAAGATGGTCATATTTAGTGCAAACCAAACATTTTCCACTGATAAACTACACAGCATCAGAATGAAATTTTAGGCTTGAGAACAGTTAAAGAGATGCAAATAGTAGTGAATAAAAATTTTAAAGGAATAACCAACTTTTAAAGCTAATGGTCCAGGTAATCAGTAAATGTAACGCTACTTCTGAAGAGTCTCTCCCTCTACTTAACCTGGAACTGCACTATGTTATTTGTCTTGGGTTTCGGTTTTATGTTTTTACTGAAGAACAGTAAATTAGTGATGCTTAAAGATCTTCTGAAGTCCCCAGCACAATCCCGCATCCAAATGAAAAGACCCAAAAGCAGGAAATGAAAAGGCAAAATAAGGGAGATTTGAGGCAAATAAAGAAGCAGACACAAGAAAAACTTATCTCAAGTTTGAGAAAGCAGATATAGTACAGATGTGGGGAAGGACAGCAAGGGAAAAAAAAGGGATCATTCTGATGGCTGCTGAGGAGATACAGGTGAAGCCAACTAAACGATAGGATAAAACTTTTTTTTCCAGCTGCTCCTACTTTACGTCAATTGAAAAACCGCCACACCTGAGTTTTCAAATTAGCAAGCTAACCACAGCAACATTCCTCCAACACCTCCACTCTGCCTAGTCCGCTCTCCATTCCCATCTGCCTCCTTCCTCCTCACATCCTCTAAAGCATCAACTTACATTTCCACAAGTTTAATAATCACTCCCATAGGAAGCATATCAACACTTTTATTGTGCTGAGATGACTCCCAATTTCTTATCTTCAACCTTGGTGCCTCTCCTGGGTTCCAATCTGTTCTTAAACAACTTCCTGGACATCTTCACTTGAGTATCTGCAAGTTCCTCACATCCTATATATATATAAAATATAGTTTCCTCCCAAACTAGCTTCTCCTGTTGACCTTCTTACTTCTGACACCGAACGGTAACTCTCAATCAGTCACAATATGGAAGTAGTAAAATGTTAAGAGCACAGACTCTGGAATCAGACTTCCTGTTTTTAGCACTTACCAGCTTTGTAACCTTGGGCCTAGTTCCTTCACCTGTAATGCTGAATAGCACCTGCCTTATAGGATTGTTGTGAAGGACAAAGACAGGTGAAGCACTAAGAACAGTGTTTGGTACATAAAAGTGCTCAATGAGTGTTAGCCAGCAGCATTATACCAGGGTCATCCTTGACTACTTCCCTAGCCCCCATAACCAACTGAGTCAAATTCTGTTCACCCCACCTCTACTGAAACTCTTCTCTGGGGACCCTTTTTACTAAAGACACTATTGTGGCTCAGATCTTCCCTTTATTCAACCCATTTACTGGGCAACCACTTATTGGTACTGTGCCTTGCATCAGAGATATAAATGTTCTTAGGAGCTAATAAATAAGAGAGACAAGTAAAACAGTGTGGCTATACCACCAGAGCACAGAGGGCAAGCAAATCTTAATGGGAGTGGGGACGGTCAGAAAAGCTTCCCAAAGAGTATCTGAGGTGAGATTTTTGAAGCAATCTTCTAATATTTATCAGCAGCACTACAAATATCTTCAAACTAATCCTCCTCAATCCCAAATTCTTCCTAAACTATGTCTCCAGAAGAGCTTTCCCAAAGGACTTTCCTGCCTTGAATCATGGCTCTCTAATTTTATTCCATAGGTTTTAAAGCCACCACAATTTAGCTCAAACTTATCCTTCCGTCTCAGAAACTTTTATCCCTATGCCAATGTCCTATATACACTGGCTAAACCAGAACATGTATCAATCCATTTGCCAGTGATTTATTTTCTTTACCTCACCCATCTCTTTTTTATACCTCTATGTCTACCCTTCAAAATTCTGTTCATTGTTCAAAAGACTCAAACTCCTCTATTCCTGAAGCCTCCCCACCCCACCCTCCAATCAACCAGCTGTCATTTCTTTCCCTGAAGTTTTAGATGCTTCTGATGGCTCTGCTTTGAACTATCACGTGTTGACTCTTTTTCCACTAGACAGCATGTTCCCCAAAACTGATTATCATCTTATTTAATTTTTTCTTCCTCAGAGTCAAACAAAATCTGGCAAGTGACGGAGCCTCAATAAACTTGCTGACGTACCCAGTTGGAACAAGTACCTACACAACAAAATTGCACTCCTCACTATCAACATACTAAGCTGTCCACTCACCAAGTAACAGCTACCTAGCTGAATACCACTTTCCAAGACAAACCAAAGTCTACCTCTCAAAAAAATTCATCAAATCTATTGAGTTAAATAATAAACCTGAAATTACCCTTAAAATTACATCCAAAACACTACCAATACATGAAAAGTTGTAAGTACATTTTGAATGATCTGTAATCTAAAATGAGGAAAGCCTGGTGAAAAAAATTACCTGCTCAAGGAAGAGACATCTAACAGTACCAAATAGCCTCTAGTGCTATTGGCAAATGCATCTTGCTTTAAAAAAAAATTATTTCAGCAAAATATCTAGCATATGGCCAATATGCAATAAACTGTTAAAGCTACTTAACAGTACAAGAGGCAAATTATTGGTAATATTAATATTTTTGAGTTTAATATCCTGTAGGAAGTTTGGGGCTCTTTTTTGTTTTTGTTTTTCAAAAATGATGTTCTTTGTAAAAAGCGACAGAGAGGCAGGAGTCTTCAACTTGCATACCAAATGAGCCCTCCTCTCATTTGCCTTACTGGCAAATGAGTATTTTTTGTCAATTTATTATACTTTCCAGGAAAAAAAAAAAAAAAGCTTCAGGAATAAAAACTAGAAGAGAATAAAAAACTAGACTTTCAGGGCTTCCCTGGTGGCGCAGTGGTTGAGAGTCTGCCTGCCGGTGCAGGGGACACGGGTTCGTGCCCCGGTCTGGGAGGATCCCACATGATCCCACATGCCGCGGAGCAGCTGGGCCCCTGAGCCATGGCCCCTGAGCCATGGCCGCTGAGCCTGCGCGTCCGGAGCCTGTGCTCCGCAACGGGAGAGGCCACAACAGTGAGAGGCCCGCGTACCGAGAAAAAAAAAAAAAACTAGACTTTCAGAAAACAAATAATTCAATCCAATAAGATAGAAAAATTTTAAAACCATATTAATAGTCATATTCGAGCACCAGTGCTACAAATACTCGAATTTCTAAAAGACACCAATCAAGAAAATAAAAGTTCCTAATGCCTCTCTCCACCCCAAAACACAGCCTTCCACCCAGAAAACTAACCACCTTATATTTTAAGATAAGACGGTTATCTTATCTTACATCCATATCATAATAAAGATTCAGTTTAAAGTAAAACTGGAGAACAACAGAGCCTAAGTTTTCGAGGTTTGTGTTTTGTTTGGAGGTTTTGATCATATTTAATTCTTACATACCTTCAGGTACCACCAAAAAAATGTACACAAGCAGTAATATATACCTAAGGATGATAAGCCTTGAATGGATCCTCATTATATCAATACATATTTCGTACAACTGAAATACTTTTGTTAATCAGCAGTCAATTAAAATAGTTCCCACACCAATTTAGCACTGGGTGTCCAAGGAAGCCAGCAGTATTTCCTACTTAGCTCATTTACCTCTCTAACCCAATTTTTAACACTATGGCAAAAAATAAGCACTGTCACAGAGTGAAATAACAGGGCACACAATTCCATTATATTAGTAGTACTACCAGCACAGGAGCTGCAGAGGGAACGAGAATACCACATTCTCTTCATATTCTCATTGTGCTGAGCAAACAACTCTTACAATCAAAAATAAATTAATTTTTATAAATTAAATTCTAATTTTATATATTAAATTTAACATTTTTCTAAGCAAACAATTATAGGCTCTTTGCCTCTCCTCCCAAAATCAAAGCTACAACATGGTACCCCTCTCCCCCAAAGCATCATTTTAGTCTGGTGATACAAGAATAAATGCACAGTAAATTTTTAGCTAATTCCTAAAACATTTACTGAATTTCTATATTTGTCAGGCTTTAAAATAAAAAGTACAGCAAAATTACACAGAAAATAAAGGGTCTCTTCATCAGGGACAACTACACATAAAGGTTAAATCATTTGACTACACAAACTTAAAATGTAATTTTTAAAGCTAAAAGAAACTGTAGAGGTTACCTAATTTAATCTCTTTATTTTGTAATTAAGACACATCAAATAATTTTGCCATTGTCAACAGCAAAAAACCCTATTATACATTTTATTTGTTAAATTACCTCAATACCTTAAATTACCTCAATTAGCTCCATTTTTTTTACTGAGGTATAAATGACATACAACAGTATCAGTTTTGGGTATACAACATAATGATTCAGTATTTGTATACAGTGCAGAAATTTCATCACAATAAGTCTAGTTAATAGCCATCACCAAACATAGTTACAGAGTTTTTTCTTCTTGTGATGAGAACTTTTAAGATCTACTCTCTTCTTAGCTTTCAAATATTGAATACAGTATTATTAACTATAGTCACCATGCTGTACATTACATCCTCTTGTACATTTAAAAATTAACATTTTCCTCAGGGTCTAGAAATACGATTAACAAGCATCCCTACCCATAGCAATGGGAATTTAACTACCAAAGAGTAAGAATGAACATGAAACTAAAGAATTTTTTACTCCATCAGTATGGTAGAATGTCACTCATCTGCACTCCCCAGAGGAAGAAATCAAAACAGAGATCAAAGGCTAGAAATTCCAAACACTGTCATATTAACCAAAATGATCTTACACTCTCTCCAATAAATTCTGAACTTGTGTTAGAAATAGAAAGCAGTAATCTGAGCAGTCATTATGATAACTGATAACAGATTCTAAATCTCAGGATTAGAATTTAGCCTGACATTTTGAAAAGTAAGTACTTTTTACTTCCTCTAAGAACAAAGGGGAGAGGAAAGGAACTAAGTTTTTTTATGTACTTTATAGATATTCACTCATTTAATCCTTACATCAACCCCGTAGAAAAGGGATTATGTCCATATCACAAACAAGGAAACTGAGGCTGAAAAGTTTAAGCAATTTGCCTTGATATCGCAAATATAATTTATTACCAAGTCAGGATTTGAATCCAAATACCTTTTGTTTGTTATCAAAATCCATAATCTCTCCACTACATCATGCACCCTCCTGAGATATTTTACAGACATCGGTAGGAAATCTCTTAACAGCATCAACTGATTATAATCTAAAGCAATATAAACTAAAAAGATTACTGGAAGATCCAACAATTTACTTACAGGGGTGAGAAGTACTACTAGAGAAGGAGGCCTGAACATATATATACATTAATATGTTTCCAATGTAGCCAAAGCCTCAAACAGAAGATACTTAAAATATTACTTTGAGTAGAAACAAAAATAGTGAGGCTTGTGCGTGAATTTTATGGATGCACTAGCTTCAGTAACAGTTCCCTAATAGTAAGCAGGGCTGTTTTTGTCAGAGTCCTCTGAGGAAGCGGGCAGTCATGTACCCAACCTGGTGAGCCTCTCCTCACCAAGGAGAAATGTACTGGGGAGGGGAGAAACAAACAAGGAGTAAACGCAGGTTGTAAAGCAGCCAAGACTGGCCCTCTACCACAGTTTCTACATAACTAAAAGATTTCTGGTAAAAATCCATTACTAATTACGAACTAATTATAAACATCATTCGCCAAATGGCATAAAGACTATGATTTAATAGAAACTGAGAAAGCAGGTGTATGATAGCTTACGTTTCCCAGAACAAACTGTACACACAAGACTAGACCCCTCTACCATAACCGTAACTTCCTCATAACCTACTTACTATCATACACACTCTTTAAGATGTAAGTCCTTAGAACCTTTAAGTATTACACTTCTTGCATCAGCATCAAAAAGCTTAACAACTACTTCGGGCACTATTACTTTTAATATCGTGTTGGAGATGAAAAACTCAAAGCAAAAAACGATTAAGTGACCCGTCCAGGATGGCAACTTAGGACCTGATGCTCATCACAACCTAACTAACGCTAAACGACTTCGACAGCTCAGTGGTTTCACAATACGTGCACACGGTTCCCTGTAAACTCAAAAGCAATTTACTAATCTTAGGTGGCTTCCAAGTCTATGGAAGTTTTCCTTTCAGAAGAAGCGGAAAACCCCGAGTCCTCGAAAACGAGCACTCCAACGAAGGGCTCATTTTACACTTCCTCTTATGTGAGCTAAGACCACGTGTAGAGCGTAGCATTAACCTTGGCGACGCATCACCGCAAAGGAGAACTGCACTTCCCACCCCGCTTCCTTCCACTATTGGTCCTCCCCTCACAATTTGCGGCCCTAGAGATTATTTATTCCCTGGAGGACGTGAAGGAAATTGAGCGAGGCCGAAAGCGTGCGAGATGCAAACCCAAAGAGCCGAGGAAACAGAGGCAGACACTCAAGCACCGGGAAGCGATTCCCGCCTCTCCCAGGCTCTGTCCCGCGGCCTCAGAGCTCAGTAAGCTGAAATACAGGGGCGCGTTTTCCCGACTTCAGACCTCAGTCTAAATCACTGATTTCACTGCAGTGTTAAGCCGGAGCCGAACTACTCACGCCACCCGCCCTGGGGCCGCCAGTCTCGAGCCGAATCCAGGCTGGGACTAAGGGGAGATACCAGGCCTCTCAACCTGCGCACCACGGTGCGTCTGCGCCCGGCCTACCGTCGCGACCAGAACGCGGACCCCCACCCCAATCTCCTCCCTCTGGCCAGAAGCGTCTGTAGTCCCCAGACGACAGTGATACACTCACTGACTTACTAAGTCCTCTAAGAAATTACCTTTGAACTGGCCTTCTGAGAGCCGCCTGGCGTTTTGTCCGCCATCTTGAGCTTTGCCCCTCCTTCGGCAGCGGCAGCAGCGCGGGCGAGTCGAGCGCCGAAAGACTCGATCTCAGCGGAGCCCGCCTGAGGCGCGTGCAAGCCCGAATAGTCGACTGCCGACTTGGCGAAATTCAAGAGGAGCTTCGCCACGTGACTTCGGTGTTGGTCATTTCCCGGGCCCGCCCATTCCGCTGAATATTTGGGGGCGTCTCTGTGGCGTGTCGCGTTATTGGGCCCGAGAATTTAGAGAATCTTTTTGTCTTGGCTTTCAGGGCCGGTCGATAGTTCACTCTTTTTCCAGCACCAGCCCTTGGTAGGTGCGAGCCAGTTGCGCTTGCTGGGCGAGGAGGGAAAGTCTTCTTAAAGAAGAAATGCGTCGTCAGCTGGGGAGGAGCCTTTACTTCAACTCAGAAAATAAATCTGGAGCCGACCGGGATCCGGCGCTCCGTGGACAGAGATGGTGTTCGCTCCACCTCTGTCGCTCACACTCTAGTGGGAAAGGCAAACTTGCAGTCTGTTCAAGTTAATTTAAAATAGAGTGGTGTCCGGAAGCGGAGGAGGGAAGCTTTTGACCCAACCTGAGATTCCGGCAGTGGGGTTATCGGATAGACTCTGGGTCAAAACGGGTGCATGCAGAGAGAGGATGAATGAAAGAAAAATCATAAACAGATGGTATTCTAAATCTAGCACCCACGTAAGTTGTGTGTCATTTAAGAATTACATTTTGCGGTTTTTTCATTTTTAATCACATAAATGGAGGGGAGCGCCATAAACCTTTCTGTACTTAGCTTTTTGGGTTTTGGTTTTTTAAATTCTTAATAGAATCTATAGTCAAAGAAGGAAAGCTTGCTTGAGGTCATTCCTGAGCCAAACCAGGCAAGGAAAGGGCATTCCAGGCAGAGGGAGTCGTTGAAATAAAAGCCTGGTGGCATGAATCAGGACAGCCCTGTGGTGCAGTCACATTAAGCAGTCCCGATTTATTAGACCAGGTTTTGGGAATCGACGTGGCTGGAGAAGTGGATGGGGGCAAGCTCACACAGGGCCCTGAGGTAACCAGTGTGCTTAGGGAGATAGAATTCTATTCTAAGGATGCAGAGTGGCCCTCAACACAGTTAAGTAGGGCTGTGATGTGGTCAGATTTTAAGTTTTAAAAGATTGCTCTGAGCACAGGGGGAAGGGAGGAAGAAGGGTTCACGACCTTCTCCTGAATTATTTATTCAAAATATTTTTGAGCCCGTTTTGTGTGTAAAAGCCTGCACGAAATGTTGAGAGGCTTACAGAGATGCCTAAAACACATTATCTCCATATGATTTAAGATTTAATGAGGAATAAAAAAACAAAGATTTAATGAGGAATAGGGGAGAGAAGGGAACAGCAAACTAATGCTGTAGAATTCAATTTATGCTGCAGGAAGGGTCATTAGCTGTGGGAACCCTGAAAGAATTAATTCTAAAGGTAGGGGTTGTGCAAAGAGATCGGGGGAGGTTTCACAGAGAAGAATGCATTTGAGCCAACTCTGAGGATGTAGAATTTTGTCTGTTGGATGGTGTTGGCGGGGAGAGGGAGGGGAGGTTGGCGAGGTGGTGAGGGAAGCTGGATCTGACACATGGAAAGACTAACAGTCGTATGTGCCAGGCTGAGGAATCAGCAGGCCAGGTAGGGCTCCTGTTCTGTGTGAGGGGATGGGGGTAGAAGAACAGACAGTAAACAAATAAGCAAACAAGGAATGGTCAGAAAGTAACAAGTGCTATACTTGAAATGGAATGATGCTTTACAATCTCCAGTCCTGCTGACTTTATTTTCGAACCCAGCTTTTTTCACTTCTGGGCTTCTCCCCCCTACCCTTGTCCTGACTGCTAATTGAAGGCTAATCAATTTCTTTTTATACTCTTATTGAAGATATCCCTTCCTCCAGGAAGACTTACAGACCTCCCTCCCCTACCAAGCCTAAGAAAGAGACTCTGCTTCTGTTACCATAGGAACCTGTTTCGCACTCAAGATGCTCATCGCACCAGATCTTCATTGTCTGTTTACAGTCTAGGATTAGAAAATGAAATCATCAGCTGAGATGAAGGGAGAATTGTGGGCTTGGCCGTACCTAGTCATGTTCTGGCAATGCTGCAGGCTGACTTTGTCACTGTAAAGTGAATATATACATACTTTTCATTTAAATCCCTAAAGTCCTACTTCACGTAAAAATCATTTTTATTAAATGTTTACTCCTAAAGACTTGAACATAAAGGAACATAGACTTCTCTCTCTTCTTTTTTCATACAGTAAAGTCCCAAAGGAAGTCAAACAAATATGGCCTGACTAGAAATGGTACATAGGCTTTTATTAAGGCCTAATTAAGTACACTCTTAAAAACTCAAAATCACGGGGCTTCCCTGGTGGTGCAGTGGTTGGGAGTCCGCCTGCCGATGCAGGAGACATGGGTTCGTGCCCCGGTCCACATGCCGCGGAGCGGCTGGGCCCGTGAGCCATGGCTGCTGAGCCTGCGCTTCCGGAGCCTGTGCTCCGCAGCGGGAGAGGCCACAACGGTGAGAGGCCCGCGTACCGCAAAAAAAA